AAACTTTTTCGTTTTTCAAAATCTGCTTATGGTTTGTAGAATTAATCTATTTTTATCGTTAATATTTATCATTTTCGTATAATCTGCACTTCTGACATTTGATTTTTTCCTTGCGCACAGACGATGTTTTTTACCGACTAAAAAAACTGTGAAAATCGCCCGGAGACGGATCGAGCTAATCCAGATTTCTCGAGTTTGATGCGAAGCGTTTTCCATACATCAAAAATTTTCTTTTTTGTGTTTATTTTTTCTAAAGGTAAAATGCATGTAAAACGTGCTAGTGAATATGGTGACATTAAAACATTAAATCAAGCAGTGCAATTACTCGATAATGAAAAATATAAATCTACACATCCTATACATCATCGTGCATCAACAGGTCAAACAAATACAGTGACAATATGTACATCTGTTATTGATTTCAAAAAATCAATGCTCTATGTTTATGATGATAATCCAGCATTGACAACAAGTTCATCTTTTTTTGAATTTGGTTTAAATAGTTTATAGTTAGAAAGAAAATTTGACATGTACCTTTTTTTTGTTGAATAATAAAATTTTTCTTGGGTGCAAAAGGAAGTTGGAGAGAAATCTTTTTGATTACAGTAAAGCGATATTTCTATTCAATAGGAAATAAGAAAATATCAATAGAGACTTAGAAGTTTCTTAAAAACTAAAGCAAATAGAAGAACCGTTAGAATTGTTTTGAAAACGTTTTTCAATATCTATTTTAGTTTTCGTTGACTGGTATTTCATACCATTTTCTTTTTCAAAAGATATATCCAATTATCAAAAACTTTGTAAAGAAAAGAGTGAGTGTTTCAAACCTTCAATATGAAATATAAATATGAATTGGTAGGATAAGTTTATTTCGCTCTCCAATTATTCTAGAAGAGGCACAGAATTTGTAATCGCTTATCGGCTATCCACATATGTAAAAGACAATTCACAGTATGTTTTAGCTAACACGAAAGACTAACTGAGCTATTTGTTTGATTTTAACTACTCAGGAATTACATGTACTATCGTATGTACACATCTGTCAGGAGGATAGGAGTTTTGAGAATAAGGAGTGAGTATTACGCTTAAGGATATGGATGAAAAGAACACTTAGACGTACACCCGAATAAGTAATTTCAGCATTATAGGTATCCTAGTCAAAGCTCTAAGTGATTATTCTTATATACAATTCGATACATCTTCATTTCATCTTTCGAATACTAAAAACCATAACTCTCTACGTTGTTTTCTTCAAAATTTACTTAAAAAAAATATTCATTCGACTATATTTTTCTAAATAGGCAATAGTGTAATCGTCAAATATCATAGAAAAACAGAGCGTCGTTTTTATCATTAGTTCATATGAAGACAATGTTTCTTTAAGCTTTTAATAAGTAATTAAAGTAGATTCCTCACTACTTTGGATCTAGTCTCAATATAATATTCAAGATTGACAACATGCTTTAACTATAGTAATCAAATATATGATATATATATTTATTGAATTTTCTTAAATATTTTTATTTTAAATTAAATAATTAATAGTGTCAAAGATTTATAAAAGAAAAGAATTCATTTCAATATATAATAATTGATTTTAAAGAAAATCTTGTTATTATCAAATGAATAGATTTTATATAAAAGAAATATCATATCAAATAAAACTACATGATGTATTCATATTCGTTCTCATTACTAAGAAGAAAAGAATAGCAGTGTAACTAGAATTCAATTGAGAATGTTATTAATATTAATCAGATTTAAATAGAAATATTAATATTCTAATTCATTTTTTTTTCTTTGACGAGAATTTTTTTTTATTGTTAGAAAAAGAAAAAAAAACACTTTCAAATTCTATTCAAAAATAACTAAAAGCATTTGTGAACATTGACAAAAAACATATATATATATAAAATAAGGCGACTATGTTATCATTAAATATTTTGTTGAATATTGCTCAAAAAATGTTGATTCAATATTGTTATTTGGCAATATTTATATTGGGTACAATTGGTTCTTTAATGAATATTTTTCTTTTTTCACGACGTCGATTACAATCAAATTCATGTTGCACATGTAAGTTATTCAATGAAGACTTTTATATAATATTATTTTTACTTTATATTATATTCTCTAAAAGACTTTTTCACATCATCAATATGTGCATTAGTCTTACTTGCAATAGGTATTCTACCACAAATTTATACTCTTTATAATTCTTCAAATCCATTTAGTACAATTTTAAGTTTTTGTAAAATTCGATCTTATTTAAATCAAGTAAGTGCTATGTCATGTCGTTGGTTATTAGTTATGGCTTGTATTAATCGATGTATAATATGTTCAAATAATCCTTATATTCATCATTTATCTTCTATATTTATAACACGAAGAATAATCATTATTATAATTAGTATTTGGTTAATATTACCAATTCATATGCTTATTTATAGTAATATTCAATCATTAGGAAATATTGAATGTTCAATAAATAATAATAATATTGCTATTTATCATCGATTTTATACAATAATAATGGGTTGTATATTACCATCTATAATTGCTTTTATATGTTGTTTATTTATATGGAAAAATCTTCAAGAAAGAAGACGACGTCGTCAAATAATTATTTTTAATAATGAAATAAATCGGCGAAAACAAAAACGAGATCAACAAATATTATTTATGTTATTAATACAAGTAGGAATATTTTTGATATCTACAATGCCATTTATGTCATTCAATATTTATAATACAATGACACAATCTATAAACAATAAATCAGCAGATCGTAAAGCTCTTGAAGCTTTTTTGAAAACTTTAACGGAATTTTTTATTTATTTAATAACAATGTCATTTTATTCGAATACATTAGTATCAAGAACATTTAGAAAAGAATTACTTAAATTATTCAAATGTATTATCATTCGTAGTCGTTAATGAAATTTTTTAAGAATTATTCCATTGAATATCTCGATGTTAATAATAATACACGACTTCTAATGACGACAAACAGAACAATCAAATCATCAATATCTTAAATCTTTGAAATAATAAATATCAAGCAATAAAAAACTCGTTTATATCATATTAATAATAATATGAACAATAAATCGACGATCATAACACATTTGAACACTAATTAGTTTATAGTTACTTTCTTTTGTAAAATAAGTCTATCACGTTAGTCTTATAAAATATTTATTATTTTGTTGAGTGACTAAGAGATTGTCAATTACACAAAAGACAAAAAAAAAACAATGAAAGAAGTTAAAAATCAATTAATTATCAACCTTCTTTTTTTCAAGCTATTGTATTCAATTCGAAGACATGTTACAAAATTTTTTTTCTTTGTTTGTTACCTACCAAAGTGAGTTACTTGAGGTTCTCTTTGTATGACATGATCTAAAATGAGTGTTCGAGTGTATAGGAGTAAAAATTTGGACCCATCTCTCACACAGGCCATGACAGACGACTTTTAGGGATCATCAGAGACTGTAACACACCTTTTTGATACATAAGTAGCAGATCATATATCACTAACATCTCATGAGACCGTATGAACTGCTTCCTTATAATAGTTCAAGAGGATTATATAAAAAATGGATCCCAAGATAGATTGAATAAAACAATTTTATCGTGATTAGTTACAACGGTTGTATTGTGTTTCATATTTTAATCCTGCAGGGTTGACAGTAACAGATGTTTTTTTACTTTTTATGTAATAGACAAACACATGACAACTGTAACAGTAAACGACTTGAATTTGTACAACATATAGCAAGAAAATGCCGATACTTGAATGCATCGATTATGTTCAAAAGATTTTTATCTATGTCATACAAACGAATATCGACAAGCATTAAGCAAATTAATCGATGAAGATATTATTTTTTTTCACGATCAGCTTCAACAATGTTTCGATGAATCAATGAAAACACCTAATAGTCATAAATTATTAAATATTATCAATAAATATAAAGACAAGTTAATAAACATTTTAAAATGTTTTACATATGAATTAAAGAAAGTTCGTGATGATGATGATGACCGATTTTCTTAAATAGATTTGAACAAATATAAACCAGATTTGATCAAACTACAAACAATTGATATAGATTATGATAATAATATGGTGTTATTTAGATCAAATATGTCACTAAGGATGTACGGATGTACTCAGTGAAAAATAATCATGAGAAAATCAATTATTTTTGATAACATATGTCGAAACTTTGATTTTTGCACGGATCTTTCACTTACCCAGAAAAAGACGATTGAGATTGATTAAAATTAAAAAAAAATCATACGAAAAAATAATTTATTTCATCGATTATTTCTAATTCATTTGTGTGTAATGTAATTTTCATCGCTAGTCGATTTCAATCTTTGTAACCGATTAAATTTCCAATTGATGAAAATCGAATCGATACATATTTGATTGATTATTCATGATTAGCTCAACTGGAATACGATTTTCATTGATAATCAATTTCAGTCTGCTCGATCGATTTAAGTTGCAATAGAGAAGAAACAGATTCTAGATTTTGGTTTTAATTATTAATCGATTTTCAAAGTGTTTAGCAAATCTTAGTAACGGTCTATATAGAACCAAAGCATTTGGATTAATACGAGAAAGTTTGGGTGGAATATTAATTTTCACTGAGTGGGCGTGAACGTGTTCTTATAGAAGATCCACACCCTTTAAGGAATCCAAGTTTCGTGAAAAACTCCATTCGTACAATATTCGTGTCACGCATTTTTAAGATTGAGTAAAAGGAAGTATGACGTATAGTAAACAATCAGAAAATGGCTTTTTTCTTCGAATATAACAAATTAATATAGTATTCGTTTTTACCAGAACTGCGCAAATGTAACTTATTCATCATTTGTTCCTTTTTTCTTTCACAAGTGACGCATTTGTTAATTCCTACTATATCTTAAAGAACCGTATAAATATATCACAAACCCCAACAATTTGTCTATAGTCTAATTCAATCGAAATGATGTCATCGTTATTTTTATATTGTATTCTTCTTTGGTCAATTGTTGGGATTTTCGGTTCACCCACCAACTCACTAAAAGATCAAGGGCGTGCTTTGTTTCAATTTGGAAGAATAATCAGTCATATTACTGATCGTAATCCGCTTGATTATAATGGTTATGGATGTCAGTAAGTGAAGTGCCTCTTATTTTCTTCCGAAATAACTGTAGTTCAATGAGTCTGTCCTATTTTCTAGCTGTGGTTCGGGTAGTAAAGGTTCCAAGGTAGTTGATGCTGCTGATCAATGTTGTGTTGCTCATGATTATTGTTACAATAGTGCATGGTACGATTATGATTTTGTTACAAACGATATTCTATGTACTGATGGATTAGGAACAGTTGATCGTGCAGCATGTGAATGTGATAGGCAAGCAGCATTGTGCTTTCGCTCCTCACCTTATAACCCAGCTTATAAGGACTACCCAGCAAATCAATGTTAAAGTTATTCTTTATTTCTTTTTTTGTTTGTTCTCGTTCAAATAAAATTGAATTTTGTTGAAGCTTTGTATTCACTGCAATACAGGATGTGGGTGGAGATTAAATAAATACTCTTACCCTCAATCTTCAATGTGTGAGCTGTTCTAATCGAATTGTAGAAGTATTCTGAAAAGCCTAGCAAGGAAAAAAAGACACATTTTGGTATTTTAACATATTAAATATCCACACCATATATTAAAGTACAGGAATACAAAAGCTACTTTTCCTTATTGTACTTTGTTCTCCTCAGATTTTGAAATGGCAAAGTATTTGAATCTCAAAGCAGAATGTTGCGATTTGATACATGCTTATCTATATTTTATGCGAAGTGTTGGATATATTTGACTATATTGAAACTTTATACCACAAATTGTATTTGAAATGGTTCATATGACATTTATAAATGTTATTTGCGGCTAATGATATTCCGATAAAAAAGGCGAGCGCCTTGACACCAAGCATATACAGTGTCATTTTACAAAACAATGTTGAGTAATCACAATCTGAGATGAGGGTGTGGTTGTGTTAGTGTGGGTTATATTTAAATATACACATAAATTACTGATAATTTAGATTTATCTTAAATTAACAGGATCATGACACCCGTATCCACACTTGCAGCGAAATATCGTTTTAGCTATTCTAGTAAAAACACATATTTTGATAAATTGCATTGTTAAAATATCGATGACAAAATCATTTCAAATTGACAATACAAATAAACAAAAGGGCCAGAATAATTTTAAAAGATACACCAATCGGAGTTATCCCTATGTTCGTAGTCCAGGATCTCGTTCTTCCATTTTTATCTGTAATCTTGTGTTTGAATAAAATATGTTTCACTTCATTGACTGTTTCTGCTGTATTACACAAACGTCGACTACATCGTACGTAAAGTTTCGCACCAACTCCTTGGTCATTGACAATAATATTTACGGTAGGATTAATATATTCTTGAGGACACGAGAGTGAGTTTGTCTCATCACTGATCTGATTATGTTCCAAAAAGCAAAGTTTATCTGGAGTTGAACATTGATCTGTTGTTCGATTGCCATCATAACATGTAAGTCCTTGGTTTGTATCAGTACGACTAAGAAGACTATCAAAATCGTTGAGAATGTAAGTAACATCATATGCCTTTTCTTTCATTTCAATCATTTTCTTCTCGGCAAATATTCGAGCACAATCATCAGAGTGATTACATCCATGTGCGATTTGATAAAAAAAATGTTTTGTTCTATTCGGTTCGATACGAATAAAATCTTGGTCAGATGATGTGTCAGTTTCAAGAAACGTTGTCACTTCATTGAGATGAAAGAAAAATTGCATTTTGACATAACAACGATATGCATTTTCCACTGGACGACCACATGAATGTCCAAAACCATTGAATGGTTGACTTATATTGAAAGTTTGTTCACAATTATGCGTACATCGAAGACTAGCAGAAGTATGGAAGATTAGTATAAGTAATAGAGGTGGCACTTGCGTTTGCATTGTTATTCTGGTTGTTCTTTTTCTTTCTCAATTTACTGCGTTTTTATAATCTTATCATTGCTAAGTGATACTAAGAAAATATTATGAATATGTTTGAATGCTGACGTCAAACAGATATGAGTCATTTCTCATGCTGTAATGAAGTAGAGATATTTCACATGGCAACTGGCACATGATGAAAATAACAGAATCGTATTATTTCACAAAAGAGAATTGATTTGTGCGTAGAAATATTAATTCTTTTTATCAACAAGACAAAGGTCGAAAGAGAATAGCAATTGCGCAATCTCTTTTGAGTGGGGTGTAGAGTGTGAATTTGGCTGAAGAGCTGACATTCATCCACACCCACACCCTTAGCAAGCTGCTTGTAGAAGTGTTTGTAACAGCATTTCAACTTATTACCAGCGAAACTCATTAAAATTTTCGGATACCAAATTGTAGTTTTCAGAGGCATTTACTACGAGTGAGGATCTAATCATATAACTCTTGAATAATTTCCACCAAGTCATATTTATCGCTCGAAGATGATACCTAATATTTAATAAGATGAAAGTTCTAGCTCAATGACTAAAGGCAATCATAGAATGCATTCAGCACTTACAAGCATGCTTATGACTCATTTCAGACAGAGATCAAGTTCATAACGAACAAATAAAATTTTTATCCGACTCAGCATGATCGAAGCCTTGATTGGAAATTCTCAAAGAACTTGTCAAAATAATTTGTAATATACCATTCAATGCATCTTAAGCTCTTTTCGTCAACACTAAAAATCGTAGATATCTATTGTATTTCTATCAAAAGTTATTGAAAAAAAACACTCACGGATTTTCGTTTTTGAAATGGATATTATTCGTAGCTCTGTTTTCAATGATCCACATCCACTGCCACACCCTCAATTTTCTTCTAGAAAAATTGATTTTAATCTTTACGACTTCAAGTCTCAATAAGAACCGTCACTGTTATTGAAATTACTCTCGATGACTCTGTCACGTTAACGCAATTGTGCTTTTTCTTCTATCAGGTGTTATCCTATGAGTTCACATAGATACTTGCATGCGTTTCTTGTTCTAATTTTTTTTTCTGAACTTTTTCTTGCATATCTCTTCTCAATTCTACTCGAATTCTTTCGACTGAAAATATAATTGATGTCGGTCATTGTCATTGATTAAATAATCGTATGATATCTAGAATGAGATACCGAATTTTTTGGATTGACTAGAAATAGTTATTCAATACGCATTATCTTAGGAACATTACAAGTCGAAGTCCGATGTCCGAATGATCAATAAGAAGAACAGGAAACAATTTCGATTCAAAACATTGACGAATAAATCGAGTCCAATATCGAGCGCATTTTCCCTTGGTTCTCTGAGAAAACTTAGTCAGAAGAATTGAAAAAATTCATTGTGAAGAGCAACAAATCAATATCATGTTTATAACGTGAAAAATCACTAACTTCCATCTAGACTAAATCAAGGTTTCATTGTTGAAAAAAAGAATTTTTAAAAAGCAAAAGCCTCGTGATTAGATTGACGACAACACTTCATAATCATAATATCCATTAAAAACAAAATGGATTTAAACTAGTCAATAAAATCGGAAATGTCTATCAAACAATAGAAGACAATGGTACTTTTTGTGAATCATGATTGACTTCTTGATGGAATTTGATCATAGATTGAGATGAATTTTCGAGTTCATCTTTCAATTTGACATCGTCTTCGACAATATTTTTAATCTGAACTTCGTTTTTCTTGAAACATTTTTTTCGAATAAATCTAATAAGAAGAATAATATAGAATGGTTGTGATGATATATAAGATACAATCATTGCAATCACTGTCGATTGATGATTTTCCGGTTCAGGTAGAGAATAAAGAAGAACCAAAAAAGCAATACCAACATTTTGAATACCTAAAATATAACGATTTTCAATCAAAATTTAGTCAATAAATTCTAGACTCAATTTCAACACTTTATCATATCAATTGAATTTAATGAAAAAGTTCAAATTGATTAGACAATCATACATTTAATGTCTTACTCTGATAGATTATCTAGAAGTGGTATAGATGACTTAATCAATTATCAAACAAAGACGATTGAGATATTCATCGCTTATTAGACTAACGATGATAGATTTTATAAATACTATATAATAAATCAATTTTCATTTTGATATCGAATTTATTGAATCCTACTCATTAAGATGAAGCCTAAAATCGATATTTTTCTAAAGAGACTTCCAACTGTTTGATCATTTCTACATGAATTTCTATTTATCGATTGTTTCATTTTAACATTTATTCAGAAGATAAGTTCGAAAAATTTCTTACGAATAAATAAAAATCTTTTTGAAACAGAAAGAATTTAACTCGTATTTTTAGACAAATAAATCATTGTTCTCAGTAGATACACCCTTGTTTTAACTGACACTAACAAACAATTAAATATATTTACCTGTTTCGATACCAATCGTTTTAATTCGTATCCAATCTTGTTGAAAAATCCATGCAACAACACCTCCTAATATATAACCAAGCCATGGAAGTAAAGGTGTTGTCAAAGCCATTCGTAAATTAATATAAGCAAAAAGATAAAAATTGACATATGTACCAAAAATAAAAAAATAAAAGAGTAATAAAATCGAAACAGGTTTAACAATACGATGAACATATGGTTTTAATTTTGGAAAAAAATAAACAATAATCATACCAATCGATAATGAAACAACAGTAGTTGCTAATGATCGCATTAAACTTTGAAATGGAATAATTATTTTAAGTTCATGTAAATATGCATAATTTCCAAGTGTATAAAACCATATTGGCATCATCAAAAATGAAGTTAGAGTTGAAACAAATGACATTAATACAGATAAATTTATATCACCATCAAAAATGACTGTCAATTGATTTGATGTAGATCCTCCTGGACAACAACCAACAGCAAATAGACCAAATCCATATAAAGGTGGATATTGAAATATTTTTGTTATTGTAAAAGCAATCATTGGCATAAGACCATATTGACAAATAAAACCAATAGCAACTGCTATTGGTCGATGGACAAGTTCTTTTAGAACAACAATATCTAATAAAATACCCATTTGAATAGAAATAAATATTACAATAAATGGTATTGATCTTAAAAAAATTTTTGTACGTAAAAGTTGTGGTGGTAGAGTAAGAACTTCAACTGAACAATTAAGTAAATCGATTTGTTCATTGATATCGATTGTTTTAATATTATAATTAATTAATGTTCGATTGAGATATTTAGCTTTAATTTTTAAATCAATATCAATTGTCTGATTTCCTATTTATTTAAAGAAATAGTTATTATATTTTCATTCAATATTTGATGATATTTAATTAATTTTCTATTTACTAACTAATAGAAAATCTTTCATATGAAAATGTTTATTCAAAATATAATCGAATAGTTAACACTGATTTTAAAAGTGTCCTTAAAAATTACACAAAATATTTTCCATTGATAAAAAAAACCTTGATATTTTATATGTTTTAATTTCTTTTAAAATTGATTTAAACTTACGTTTATGATCATTTGAGAGATCGATTTTAATCATTATTTGATCAGAATTATTTTGAAATTGTAGAACTTTTCTATCAATAATAGTTGCCAATAGATTAATTGATTGAATGTTTCTTTGTTCGAATCGAGTTCGATTAAATGTTATACGAAAGACATGAGTTGTCAAAATTGGAATTTTGTAAGTTTCATTAAAACACATCAACAATTGATCATTTACAATCCAATGATTCAATTGAGTGTTTAAATCGATACCATTGATAACTGTAATTAAGGTTATTAAGGATATTAAGCCGATCATTATATTAGTACTCATTGATGATTTACATCTATTGATTACGTTTGTATACTTGATATATGTATAGATTCAACCCCGTGTTTACTTTCTGTATATACCACTATATTTCTTCTTTTGTCAATCCTACGACTCTTTATTATCTTGATTGATTCGGTTGAATGCTCTTTCAATTCACATACGAATATATTTTATTGATTGCAAGATGAGTGATTCTAAATGAAATACATCATTTTTTTGAGTAGCTGCATAATTCAAATTTGCAAAATAACTATAAAATTGAATGAAAGCTCTCGTGTTCATTTTGGTAGGTGTGAGCTTGTGCTTGAGTCAACATTAAGTCTCTGCTCTAGTTAAAGATTTATTTTATAAGTTGTTTCATTAAAAGATCACTTCATGCTGTGAGTTATAGTATATATATATCAATTAGTTCATTCGGAACCTGATATTAAATTCATCATCTTATACTAAACTGTGAAAAAAAAAACGATTGAACAAAACTAATTAATCGTATAAGCTTATTCTAGTTGATTTATTAGAAAAATTTCTTTTCTATGCCATTAAAAATCAATATCAATTTTCATTTACTCTCTTATAACTAGAAATATTTTGAAGTAAGTTTTTCTATTGATTTCAGTTTTGATGTAGAAAAATCTATTCTAGAATTTGTTCATATCAAATCTATCCATATTCATTATTTCAACTAAAATTTTTTACTCAATTTTCCATGAACGCAAATACAACGTTTCTGTGTAACGACTAATAGTCAAATATTCAGTACTCACAAAACTGAAGTGATGTATTTTTTTTTAACCAACAATGTTATTTTAAAAATTAATTCTTCTTTTTCACTCTGACTAGATATACGTCTAGACACGCTCGTCTTAGTTTTCAAATGCTTTCAAGCATATTCTTTTTCGTCATGTTTAATTAGAGTTATTTGAAAAACATAATGATGCATACGTGTGGAAATTTTTTATAAAATGATTTGAAATTATGTAAATTAATACATTCATAAGACTTAAATTTTATATTAGATCATCATGTACACTTAGCAAACAAATTATTTCCTTTCAAAAGAACAATACTGTTTCGATGCATAAATTAATTATAAACGAGATCCTTTTTGTTCTTGAACATTCATTATATATATGAATGTTTTTCAAGACTATGACAAAAAAAAAGGGTACTTAAATGATCTATAGTTTTTGTCGAAGAATAATCTTGAAGCTTTTTTTTTATATTCATAAAAAAAAAATCTATGATTTACGTCTTTTTAATATTTTTATCATTCGTTTTACATAGGCAAAGATAAGAATAAACGTAAATTTTCATTTGTCTAATTAAGGAAACATTCCCAACTTGAAAATCATTTTTGAATTTAAACTTTATACATAACATAGACACAAATGAATTATTAAAACTTCGATCTCCGAAAGTGTAACAGAAGTATAGTTTTATAACTAAGAAAAATCTTTATCTGTTTAAACTCTAACTTATATCAAAATATTCGAATTCAAAGCAATTTTCAAACAGTAAAGATTCTTTCATAACCTACAATAACTTCGATTCTCATTGAAATATTTCATATACTATCTATAGAAAAAAACAAAAATGTCATTATTTCATATATTTTCAATAGATCTCAAATCAAATATTATAATCAATATGAACAGTAAGATAACAATATACAATGAAATTTTGACAACTTGTCAATATATTTAATTATACCTTTTCGTATACGTGTCAAATAACATATTCTTAAGTATTTATACAAATAATATTGAACATAGTCATCAATATTCAAAAAAACAATTTGTTTTATTTTATTCAATCAATAAACAGTATCGAATTTCATCACTGACGAAAAATTCAACAAAAACACATCATTTCTTTTTATTTTTGTAAGATAAAAATTGATGAACTAAACAAATAATAATGACCTATCCTCCGTAACAAATTTCCTATTGTTTTTATAGATCATGCTTTGAACTTCTCTGTTGGTAGTATTTCTCTTATGATCAATCTAATGTCTTGTCAAATCATCAAAAAAAAAACAAAAAATCTCTGTGTGAGAAAAGCAATCAGATGACTTAATCTTTATTCTTTTATCTTTCAATCCTCTCAGCATGAAACATAATCGTGTGAAGATAATTATATTTTATTTTTTTACATTAACACCGGATCAATAAAAACAAAAAAATCTTTTCAATTTTTTTTTTTTTTTTTTGTTTTCTCTATACAAGAGGTTCATTAAAAGCAAAAAGAATTTTTTTATCTAATGATAATGGTTCTATTAAATAATGATTTGTTCGATATTTCAATAAATTAATTGTTATACTAATACATGTTAATGAATGAAATATAATTATAATTAAAACAATATAGAATGAATATGATATATTAATTAAATGTATATATTCTTTTGTTGTTTGCCAAACAAGATATATCATTATTGATAAACATAAATATGTTAGAATAGTAAAAATAAGTAATGAAAAAAATGATTTTAATAATATATAAGATTGACGACAAATAATAATAATTAACCAAATAATACCACATATATCAGCTAATAATATTGATATAAATGAAAGAATTTGTAAAATAAATAAAATACGACCTTAAAAAAAAAATCAAAAAATAAATTTTCATTTTCTTTTTTTCAATTCAAAATGTTTATTTTTTGTACCTTCTGATGTTCCAATTTGTGGTTCAATAAGTAACCATGATGAAGATATTGATCGAGCTCTCCAAAGACCAACTTGAAGTGTTTCTGATGACCACCAATAAGGTAATAACATAGCAATAGTTGTTAATAAAGTTGAACATGGAACAGTTATCAGAAACATATTTTGTAAAATAAACATCATAGTTTTTGTTTTCACTCGAATGAAGTGTTCATTTATTTCCTTCGTCTATATATATTTATATGCATATCCTTTCTCTTTCTCTCTCTCTCTCGTTTATTTTCTCTCCCACGATATCAGGTAGTCTATGTAATACATATTGTGTGAACACCAATTGACAATTCTTCCTGTTCGTGAGAAAGCATCGATCGAATGTGAATGTGTAAATGACATTCAATCACTTTCCTATGGATATTTACACACGTATTTGTATTGTCATGAAAGATGAGAAGAATTTGTTCATATAATGAACAAATTGATATTATTTTATTGATAAATAATCGATGAATTTTGTGATTAAAAAAACAGAAAAGAAAGACAAAGCGTGACAAGTAAAGTTTGTGCTTTGCAAATATTAACAATTTTTTGTGTTAGCAACAAATAAGAAACTAATGGAAGGCACATTGAATAGTTGTGAAGATATAAGTAAGAGATTTGTTTTTGCGACTGTAACGTTGTTTATATCTGCATTTTTAGCTGTTTAAAACATCGAGCTCAAACATTTATAGATAATTCTGAATTCTTCTTTTGTTTTCATTTGATTAAACCACTAATCGATTTATTAAATAAAAATTTTTTTGTACTGCAGGATGAAAATAGATAGATGCCTTTCACATGACAGATACATTAAATTAAATGTCTTTTTTCGATCTAAATTGAATAAGGTGAACTTTTTCATGTATTTTATATTATCCAATTAATGTCCTACAGCCGAGTTGGATATCCGACCTGGAAAGCATGAGTCTGGATACAAACGCGTCAAATCGGTCGTGATGAGATTCGAATGTTGCAAAATATTTTACTTTTTTTTATTATACTTGATATCAGGTCATAGAAACTGAAAGTGATATTATTTTACTGAAAGTATTTATTTTTATTGAAAATTAATCTGTAGATAATAATGAACCATATAACATTGACAGTAAAAAATTGTGCTCACATTTACTATGTTCCTTTAACATTGTATTTGACTTGGTATTGTCATTTGAATGCTGAATATAATTTCGTTATTCATAAAATCAAATAATGATCATTGAGATATGAGTTTTTCTGGGGGACTGCCGTGAGTCGGCAAGATACGAATGTTTTCCTTCAAGCTTTAGAAGCTTTTACATGACAATGTAAATGAAAACGACGAAGTTCGAAAAAAACAATGTTGGAGATATTTAATAATGAAAATAAATAGAGTATATCTGCACCTATCGACACAAACGGCAGCAAAACAAATGAATTTTTGGAAATATTATTACTCCTGTTGTTCTCTTCATCGGCTTCTTCAATATCATTGAACAAATACAATGTTCAATATGTCAATAAGTATTTGATGTAAACAAAACCTTCATACGAAACGCTCAATTTTCATTTATTTTAATCTTTCTTATAGAAACCCGTCGTTTTATTTTAGAAGAAAAATAGAACGAGAACAACTTTATTAGCTTTTGAAAAAATCCTAATAATTAAGATTAAATACTGTCACACACTTTGTTTTAGCGTCGTCATTTAGAAGTCATACAAAATTTAGCTGAGCATCGATATTTGCATGTGTTGCTCTCAATTAATCTCTTCGACTGCATGATCGTTATTCGTCATCATCGTGCTTGCTGCATTAGTAGAAATGTATCGAAGAAGTAAAGTAAGCAACATGGTTACTAGCATTATAATTGCAGATATGATATGAATCCGACGGAAAGCAGGTACGTTGTTATCATAGTTTATGAACGGTAAAATTACTCCACCGATTTGACCAAGTCCAACGACAAATGCAATCGCCAATGTTCTTTTTATCCGACCACTTACATTTGTTGTTAGCCATGCCATCAGTAAAGCAAAGGCTGAAAATGCTCCAGCACATGCGAAACATCCACTCACATATACTGCTATTGTATTAGCTGGCTCGAAACCTGCCATGAGAGAAAAGCTAATGGCTGAAATGATTAGAAAAAATGCTACATGATATCCGTGCCCGTTGAATTTCGTTGCAGACAGACCACCTAACAGAGCGAATATACATGCTGCTACATATGGTGGAGCCGACATCAGTTGTACTTTTGCATCTGTGTACCCTATATTTTGTATTAGGCTTGGAAAGTATGCTATCCAATCTTTTATCAC